GTATAAAGTCAAATCTATAAAAGGGATAACTATAGGAATGTTTTGTAATAAATAGTCGTGAAATATTATTTCTATAACTATTTATAAATAAGTTGAGAAATTAATTTGCATGTCAAAATGTCCCAATCTACGTCTAAAAAAAATGCTGGCAGTACAGTATTGAGTATTTAAAATATGGATTTACGTACTCTTCTACAAACTTGTCATTACCTATGTGCTTAATTTGCCTAAATGTTTTTTCAAATGAAGCTATGGAACCTATTACGCTACACAGTGTCTAGGTACATGCTAACTTGTACGCAATTCTAAAATTTATATACACGCGAAACGTCATGTCATGACAGAGTAGGTGAGCTGTGTGCAGGCCGTTCGTGTTTACGCCGGTCGTAGCGAGGGATGGATTGAATTTTTTTTTGTGGCGGCGAAGCCGCCACCTTACGAGAAGTCGTTACTTCGTTTTCTTGTTGTCACAGCATTATTATTATTATTTGTTCATGTATGTGAAATTTGCTTCTAAGGTTTATAAAACACTATTGTGCTAGTCTCGGCGTAAATGAAAACAAACAAGACGCATTCACACAAACACCTCCCACCACCGCAATATGATGTTTCGCGTGTATATAATTTTTTGATTTGCGTACACTTTAGCGTGTACCTAGCAACAGCGATTACGCTACAGCATTTAAATAAAATAGGAATAAAGATTTTTCCTATTTTTGAGGACTGGAAAAGTAATATTTAAAACAGCCAACTGTATTGCCTAAACCTTTTTGCGTCGTTTTCTAAACAAGTAGATGGACTACGAGCCTCATATAATACCATTTTATTGTTAATCGCAAAAGCTGAAAACCCACACACAATTGGTGAAGAATTAATTTTGCCGGCAGTCAAAACACCGCCAGACATCATCAAAAAAATACCCCTCAATAATAATTCAGTGCAAAGAAGAATAGATAAAATAGCAAATGATGTTGAAATATTATTATGTGAACACTTAAAGAAGTGCAAATTTTCCATTCAACTCGATGACTCAACTCTACCAAATAACGAAATATACGTTCGATTTAAAAAAAAAGAACTTTATTAACAGTTATTATTTGCTAAAAATTTGGAAATTGATACAAAGGGAGAATCTATATTTAATACCATGCAAAATTTTTTTCAAGAGAAAGAAATCCCTATTTGCAATATTTTGTCAGCAGCTACTTAAGGTACTTCTGCAGTACGTCATAGGATTTCATAGCGAATTTGAAACAAGCAGTAACAAATGTACTCGCTGAACATTTGTGTACATTTAATTATTCATCTTCAGAATTTAGTTGCAAAAAGTTGAATGGGCGTCTGCATATGTCGCTCCATTACGTTATTAGAGCAATCAATAATATTAGAAGCAATTCATTGATTGACCGATTATTTGGTCAGCTTTGTAGTGAAAATGATGAAGATAACAATCGGTTACTGCTGCACACTAAAGGTGTTTGTCTGAATCGTTTTTTCAATCTATTAGACTCAATTGTTGACGTTTTTGAGGACAGAAACGAAAAATTGCAAGAAATCCTGATTTTACCAAAAAATGACGCATATTTTCAGACCTGTTTAAATATTTAATGAAGTTAATTTACAATTGCAAGGAAATGAGTTAGTTGAACTTAATTAAATCAAAAAGCGTCATAGCTGCTTTTGTGGGAAAACTTCTCTACTGTCAAAGGAGAGTAGTAGACTACACATTAATGAATGTGGAGATCTGCGATTGATGTTAACGAAGTTGAAATCCGACATTAACAATTTGTTAAAACTTCGCCAGTCTAAACCATCTCATAATTTTTTTTTATTTACTAGTTTTGTCTTTTTCTCATTTTTTTTATTTCTTATTGATTTTGTATTTGTTTTTAATACTATAATACAATTTTATTGTACATTTGGTTGTCATTTTATTAATTTTTACTTTATTATTTTTAATATATAAATAAGTAGATAAAAAGCAGATAAGTAAGCAGATAAATACGAGGGCTGTCTTTTAAGTTTTGCATATAGACCTAGAATAAAACAGCAGATAGTGTTTAAACATTTTATTATTTTTCAAAGTATTCTCCACGAAAATTAATGCACATTTGCATGCGCTCGAACCAGCTCTGAAAGCAGTTATTTCACTCCTGGGGTGTCACAGCTCCAATGACTGTTTTGAATGTCTCAACTGCATCTTCTGGTGACTGGAACCACTAATTTTTTTACTCCCAATTCTTCATGAAAAATCTTTTGGATTGAGGTCTTTAAAATCTCTAACGATGCTTCAATCTCGCGATATGTCACATGCCAATCTTCCTCGATGAGCCTGCGCACAGCATCAATGGTTTCCTGGGTGACTACCGATTTAGGTGCACCTGTTTTTTTCTTCTAAAGAGAGCGGCAGTCCAGAAAAGGTTGGGAACCTCTGGACTAGTAGAATAACCTTACGGGCGTTTCATTGGAGGTAATCCTGTCGCGACACATCTCTTAGAACAAGTACAGAACTTCATCAAAATTGGCCTGTACGCTAGCGCTCACTCGATTATTGAATATAACATTCTAAATAAATAAAGTTTATTTATTTTTAAAGTCATTTGGGTGGATTGCCAAATTTAAATAATTATTGTTATTTTCTCTAAAATGATGATAAATCGTAAATAAATTTACATCAGAAATAATAAAACTCGCAACGGAGCTTGCTACCATCTATTGCTACTGTCCATTGTCCCCCAAGATAATTTGCATTGGGATTGTTCTACTAGCCTATCTAAATACAATGGTACATCCCTCTGGCTAAATTTTTAAGTATCTGATAGAAATAGACTTTTAAGGTAATTTCTACCGTCGACTAAAAGTTTATAAAAAATTAAATCACGCCAAATAAGCTAGAATTAGAATAGACAAATGACGTATCATTGTTTACAGGATTTCATGCTGAATCTAAAATTTAAAAAAATATATAGTGTATTCTACTTAAACAAAACGAAGTTAGTGGTTACACAGATTTTATTTTATTTTAATTTTAACGAGTATATTTGATTATGTGTGTGTGATTAGATTTAGGTTTCCCTTGGCTACGGATACTAAGTCCATTCGCCAGCCCAACATTTTGGTCAAGGATGAACATAATTTGTGTTATATACAACATTTTTATTACATTTTTTTATATTATATCTTTTTTGCATAACTGGCCTGATCTACTATATAAACAGTTTGTATTTACTTTTAATTACAAATATTTTTTTGTTTCTTTTTTTGTTTATGTATACCAAGAAATCGGCGAAAATACATATTAATTTATTCTTTATTAAGTTGTATATACATTTGGTCCAATTGATTTATTTTAGGGTTAAAATTAAAACTGAACGTTTGTGTCAAATCATTTACGATGAAAAAATTAAATTTAAAAAATGCTATTCAACACAGAGTCCTTATATAGCTTCTCGAAATGTCATCTAGCATATTCTTGACGGGTAATGACATTTCTAGACATTTCTGGACTATTCTATCTTCTTTTACTTGTACTTTTACTTATGATGACCGCAGCACACTTCTTTTTTTATCTGTACGTTTCCTATAATAGCCGCAGGCTACTGCGTAACAATATTAAATTACCAAAAAAATTATTTATTTTAAATTTTTTCCGAGCTTAGTAAATAATTATTAACTGCGTTTCTATTTACATATCTGTAAACCACTGCAGTGTGGATTTATCTAGAGGTCAATAATTGCCGTTATATAAACATACTTTTAAACGTCTGTATACTTTTTGAAACTGCTTTTGTGTTAAGGTCATTATTTTAAGTATTGGTAAAACATATTGCAAAAAGTTTTAATTTCATTATTAAGTAAAATATATGACGGAAAGTATTATTTAAATACGACTCAAAACATAAACTGAAGTGAGAATGTCTATTTCCTGCTGATGAGTCCTAATAAGGATAAAACATATCCAAGAATGACGTTCTCCTTAGTAAGCAAAATCAATGTTCTGAACCGGTCTGGTTGTTACCCGAACATGAGAAATTCTTAAAAATATTTAATACAATTTTATTTTCTTAAAACGTAATGACAAATAACCTACCGACTGAAACTAAAAATTACAACAATTATTATAATCCCTTAAAAAACTGTTTATCATTATGAGAGAAGTAAAAATTTTGTTAAAAAGTAATTAACTCTTATTTGCTTTATGTCGTCGATGATCGGGGGCCGTTGTAGCCGCCTTATTTTCTATCTCTGCTGTCTACTTATAGATTTAATTCAAGGCCTGTCGAGGTATTAGTCAGATAAATGTTTGTCTTTTGTAGAGAAACGGTTACTCGTATAGTTTGTAACATAGACTTTGAGAATTCTTTGTTCTTCTTTAAATATAAAAGATAAATATAAAAACTTGTAACTGTGGTGCCAGGAGACAACATAGAAACAGTTCACCACATAGCAACTATAGAAATGGAGCTTTTCTTGGACAACCTACAAAAGTCCTGAAGGCAACACATATTACAATTAAATATATATCAAAGTTAAATGTTTTTTGTGGCAAATGTACCATGTTTTTACATATTCTATTCTTAATTTTATATGATTTGTGTATAAACCATTAGCTAATTAAATAAATCTTGGCGACAGGTGCTAATAGGCCATGGCCTGTTTCCAGTATAATTGGCACTTCATTGGAAAATATTCACACATGATTAAAAATTGAAAAATTTAATTGGATTAAGTGTGGATATAGAAAAATATTAATTATATTTTATTTTATCATGTTAAAATTTGAAGGATACACTTAATTCAAGCAAAGCATTTTCTGTACATCATAAATTCTGCTATTTGGATACATATTGGTTGATGATTAAATGGTTTAAGGATTTCACAACACTTGCATAAACTGACCAAGCTTTAAATTAATAAAATATAATAACTATAACAAATATGTTAACCAATTTCCTTAACTTAAGAAGTCACAACTAAAATACTTTTAACTTATTTTTTAGATCCCATGACATCCGACACTGCCCCTCCTGATAGTGACCAACGAGGAGGTATTCCATATACCATAACTGAAACAAGGCTAGCAGAAATCCGAAAACATTTCATGTACCCATTTTTCGACAAAGGCGGCAATGCTGACAATGAAGGAGATTATCAGAAAGAGATCCAGTCTTCGACGCCTCAAGTCCACAAGAATTTAAACTTCCAACTGCCATTTTTCGGTTTTAGGTACGTAAATATATACACAATGTGTGTTAGTTTATTTTAAAATTGAAACTTATGTACATATTAACACTCGTTGCTAAAAAAATTCGAATCTGTAGTAAGGCAAAGAGAATCGCCCTGTTTAAGTGGGCAGACAGAATAGGTCCCGCCGGCCATGGTAAAAACCCACCAAATGGCAATATCCACAAATCGGAGCATCTATAAACACTTCTTGGCAACGTTATTAACCTGCAAAACTTTGGTGAGAGAGGCTGGTTGTCCCCAAATTCCTCTCGTTGACAACCAGCAGGCTTTATAACGAGCTGAGAGTCAGCTTCATATGCCCCTTGTAGAATGCAAAATGGTCCTAGAGAAGACTAAATGCTGTGGAGCAACAATCCACTTTCCCTCGCCTTCCAAATACAATATAAAAAAACGACTTATTCATATTAGAGTATATTGTTACACTGGTTTTTGGTAATTCAATTTATTTCAACTCAACTTTTACAATTCAGCACCTCAGAGGTAAGGTGTGTTAAGTCACCAAATCTACATTTGTCAGAAGAGGCATTTTAAAGTTTACTTATTGTTTTAACAAAAAATGTAAAGAAACTGTGAATATTGGGGTCTTTGCAAAAGTCAATTGTTTGGCCAATTTATTTAGATTTTTCGTTAGATTTTTACTTTGTCCTAAAATTTTGACTTTGATGTGACTTATTATTAATCCCAAATGTGCAATACTTGTCGAGTATTCCGCCATCTAGAGTAAACCCTTTTCTTTAAAAAAAGTGACTTAACACACCTTACCTTTGAGGTGCTGAATTTAACTATACAACTGATAACATGAACGTATAACGTCTATCATAAAATTGAAACTCTGACGTCAGGATCACCGACTTGTATAGCTCGCTTCAACCTTCTAGAACCTTCTCGGACTGTCCAGATGTTTCTTGTCAGGGGATGACATTTCTCAACATTTCTAGACTTTTCTATCTTCTTCTTTTACTCGTACTTTTACTTATGACGACAGTAGCATACTGTTGCAGCATTACACTTCTTTTTTTATTCGTACGATTCCTATAACAGCCACAGGGTGCAGGGTAACATTGCTCCCTCTTTTCTAATTATTCGTCCCAAATAACTTAATTACCGGGACCTGGTTGGAGCCAACAGGGAAGATCTGGACCACGGAATGGCTCTAACTTTTCAATGTGAACTATCTTGGGTTTACTTCCCGCCGACAACTGAATGCGTTAGATCAGGTTGTTGATTTTCTTGAAGTCGGTGTAGTGGCCTTCCCAGCTCCGTTGTAGTTTCTGACAAAGTCCTTTTCGGTGCTTGGGATTGTACAGCCGTACTGGGTCGCCTCTATGAAAATGTGTCCCTGTAGCATGCATGTCGATTGTAGTTTTTGCTTTATCGCTATTCACCTTTAAACTTTGCCGAGCGAATTCGTATACCTTTTCTAATCTTCCTCTTAAGTTCTGTATATACGTGGGAGGTGTACGGCCGTCTTCTTCACCAGGAGGCTGCCTTCAAAAAAGAACATCATGGTGAAGCTTCATCTTTCTCCCAGTAATCATCATAGATGGAGTATAACTGGTCGATTCATGTTCAGAACTTCGGTAGGCTAGCAGGAATAGAGGAATTAAAGTGTCCCAGTCCTTTTGATTTTCAGAAACGAACATGGAAAGATACTGGAATATGGTTCTATGGTGTCTTTCTACCATTCCGTCGGACTGTGGGTGGAGAGGCGTAGTGCCATAATTCGGATTCAAAATTTCGTCCTTGGTCAGAATGCAATTTCAGAAGGACTCCATGTCTCGCTATGACATTCGTCATAAATCCTTCTGCTACTGTCGTCGCTTCCTGATTAGGAATAGGTGCTATTTCTTGCTACTTTGAAAAATAGTCCATAACAACCATCAAGTATTTGTTTCCCCTTTCTGTTAGGGGAAGCGGTCCGAGTATATCTATGGCGATTCGTTCGAAAAGTTCTCTGGAAAGATACTGGGCCATTTTACCTCGGCTTCTTGTTTTGGGCCCTTTTCTGCTATTGGATAGATCACATTTCTTACACCAATTTTCTACATCCCGTCGGCAATTGTTCAATAAAATCTTGCCCGAACTCGTGCCAGCGTCCTTTTATTACCAAAATGTCGCTATGAAACTATTCCAACACACTTCTGACATGTGATTTTGGCAGTACCACTTGGCGAACTACATGTACTCTATCGGGGCTTTCCAACTTCCGGTGCAATAGACCATCGTGAAGATACAGGGAATCCAGTATCCTTTAATAGTAATAGTATCCTTTAATAGTAATAGTATCCTTTAATAGTTCCATTATATCTGGATATCTCTTGCCAAGAAGGTCTGACTTCATTTTTGGGCCATTCTTGGATAACCTTCAAGCCATTGTCTTTCATTTGAGTCTTTCTTAGGCTTTCAAGGGTGATTTCGTCTTCGTCATTCTCTGGCTTGATAGTGGTCGCCTGAAGACCAACTTTTTCAACCGGCTCATCTCGTTCTTCGAGCCTTTTACAGTACCGTCATTGTCGTTCTAAACAGAGTAGCCTGCGTTTCTATGGACACGGCCTCTTCGATGCACTATCTCTAAGTTATACTGTTGTAGTTTTTCTATCCATCTAGCAATTTGTCCTTCAGGTTTTTTAAAATTCATGAGCCACTGCAAGGCGCTATGGTCACTTTTAATGGTGAAACTTCTGTCCCACATGTAAGCCGTGAGGTTTTTCGCTAAGCATTGCCAAGACGACAGCTTAGGAATTGGGGTACTTGTATGTCTTTTCCCACTAGGGCCTTTATCGGTTGACTTTTTTTTTTCGAATTTATGACAACTTCTTCGTTCCCAACTACCAAAATCCTATTTTGGAGGTCGATGATGAACTTATTTTGCATAATGTCCATGCCAAGAACACACTGATCTTTAATATTGGCCACCAGAAATAAGTGTTCTATCAAGGTATTAGCAATCTGTATGGTTGCTAATATTTCTCATAGAAAAAGAAGAGTGTGCCATGTAGCTGTTTCCAGAACTAAGCTTCTTTGAGTTGGTCGTAGTTTCCAATGCAGGATCTCTGTTCGAATGAAAGACTTGGTCGCACCAGTATCAATCACGAAGGTGCCTTCTTGGTTGTCGATATACCCCTTGACCAATAAATTTTGTTCGTTTTTATATAAGTTGTAAGTTCGAATTTTTTGACAAAAATTTAAAAAAAATTAATTCTAGACATTTGATGGAAGAGATCTGACAACGTAGGAAGATCGTACTATCAGAAAGATGTTGTGGATAAATTCATTGTAAACAAGGCGTATCTATTATCCGATATCATTGATTGAAGCTTTAGATTGCACTCAAACTGAATATTAATAATAGATTTTATTTGTTGCACTAGTGTCACACTCGACACTGTATTCGAACTGTCAAAGTATATGTTACGTGATGGTTTGGTGTAAGTGCAACACTTTTAAATTGAACGTCTTGCCTACCTGTAAATTTTAAGTAAAATTCGTGTTTTTTTTTGTAGATATCTATCGTTTTTTATAAAATGTCTCAAATTCAGCCGGTTTTACATTTGTAGTACAATTTTATTTTTAGATTAAACTTACCTTTTTATCGTCATATTGACCAATTATATACAGCACAAAGACATTTAGGAAATAATTCAAAAATGTTACATTGAAATATTTGTAATGTTATATAAATATTACGAAACATCCCAGAAATATTTCTGTAAATATATTTCTTTTTGTTTCAGCGTGTGAATGAATACACCTTTTTACAATACAGAAGAATGTTACAAAGTAAAGTTATTTTGAATTAAAAGTTATATTTAAAGATGCAATTACAGTCATTTAACACAAAAATTCAGATTAGGTGATTATTTATGTTTTTCATTCTAAATTATTTGTAGTTATAAATTAAATAATCACCAAACCCGAATTTTAATATTAAATGGCTAATTGCGAATTTGAATATAACTTTTAATTAAAAATAACTTTACCTTGTAACATTCTTCTGTATTGTAAAAAATAAAGGTACTTTACTCATGAGTAAAATTCATATTTTTTGACAAACCTCGTATACGGATTAAAAAATTGGATATCTGATAGTTGAATTTTAGGTTTTGGACCGTGAAGAACTTTTTATCAAGAATAATTTTTTTTACAAAACCAATAATAAAAAAGTATTCTACGCGTAGTTGTCAAGTTATAGATAATTTAGTTTAGCTGAAATCGGTTACGGACAAATTGTTGCCATAGAGACAGTTATCATGGTAACGACAAACCTAAATTCATTGGTAAGGAAATGTATAGTTGCCAACTTATAGATAATTTAATTGAACTTTAGCTAAAATCAGTTACAAACAACTGTTGCCATAGGAACACTTTTCATTGTATCAACTAAACAAAAACTTAAATCTCGAATTGAAACAATGCATAGTTGCCAAATTATAGATGGTATAATCTAATTTTCGTTTAGTTGAAAGGCATTTTTCATGCAATCCACGTATTACCTTGCATGATAATTGCCTTCTACCTAATTCTTTCATTTTATATTGATATTATATTGAACTAAGTAATTAAAATGGTTGTAATGTTTAAAATGTTTAATAATAATACTTTTTAGACAGAAACTTGTAAGCACACTGTAAAGTCCAAAACATTTTTTTAATTATAGCTTCAATAGATATTCATCTTTCTGTATAAAAGTAATTTAAAAAAATATCATGTCATAGTCTGGACCGATGTGTTTATGATGCCCCACCCTGTATGTGTTACAAATGGCTTTATATTTATTCAAATATAAATTAGGTAATAATATATATAACAATAGCACAATGTATAAATAACAAAAAAAAGCAAATGGCAAAAACCTACCAAGCAAACCTCTAATTATTTAGATTATATAATAGGATTGTGGCTGGATATAGAATGATATAAAATAACTACATAACCCATCTTCTTAGTTTTTCTTATAAATCAGAAATTCATCATTAAGTGTTGGCCTTTTGCAACACAACCCGTTTAGTAACCTTTTGAGTAACATTTATACCATGTTTCAGAAACATTTTCAGTGAAATAATTAACTAAATATTTCAGAAACATTTCAGAAACTTGTGCTTAAAATATTATATGTTTGAAATATTTCTGAAACTTTTCTGAAATAATGTGTGCTGTATGGGTTTTTAATTAAATTTATCATTTTACTTAATTTCCTTTTTTTTTTTCAATGAAAGAACTTCCGTTAATACTTCATATTCTCAGATGAAGAAGATGAAGACGAAAGCTCACATATAGCCATCGCTCTATTAAAATCACCCAGCATTTCAACACAGATTCATACAGATCCCCTCTTATTTTTGTGTATGTCGTTTACTGCCACACTGCTACACTGAGCGACACTGACATTGAAAGTCAGGTCAGTGTAGAGGTGTACATTCAGTGTACGTTTGTTTAAAAATAAAACAGTTACACTTTATCTACTCTCAAATATTTGAAACTACACTGAACAAAACAGATGCGATTAGTGCAACAAATAAAATCCATTATTACTTTTATTAGAAGTATTTCGACTCAAAACTACCAACATTAATTAAACGGTGGCTGCAACTTATTGTCATTTTCAGTACAAACTTATTGAATTTCTAATGTTATTTATCAACCGTTTCACTGTAATGATTATGAAAATTAGAGAGATTTTATAGCTGTAATTTACCATTACAATTTTCTGTCAGTCGCCATTTTGTGGTAGGAGTTTTAAGTAAAAAAATCTTCCATTTCGGGTTAAAAGCCAGGAAAATAGATTTTTCTGAATTCTAAGTCACGTTCTCGAAGAAATACAAACATGGATTTTTTAAATATTACCTTTTTCAGATATAATTACACCAGAGTTTCTATTAACGGTTATTTGGAATTCAGTGACCCTCCACCAAATTTTGATTATCCATTAGTTTTTCCTGTCAAAGAATGGCCCAAGAAAAATGATCCTTCATTTATTGGTAAGTACTGTTTAACCCAGCTCAGCTCAATAACTCAATAGAATTATGTAAAAGAATGTTTATTCAAAATTTCTTCGGCAGAAAACAGCAACTATTTTTCGTTGTCATTTGTCGCAGAATGTAATATAATACGAGTATGTTTATTCATCTCAAAATTGTATATAAAAAAAAACAAATATAACAAGGGGAATAAACAGAAAGGATCACAGAAGTAGTATTTAAACTACTGGTTCGTGGTATATGATGTATAACTTAGAAACACCAATACTAATACCAATAATAATACGAAAAAAAAACAAAACAAAAAACAAAAAAAAACAAAAAACAAAAAAAAACAAAAAAAAAACAAAAATCAAAGAAAAACAAAGAAAAACAAAGAAAAACAAGAAACAAAAAACAAAGAAACAAAAAACAAAGATACAAAAAAAAACAAAAAAAAACAAAAAACCAAAAAAAAACAATAAAACGACAAAAACAAAGACAAAAAGAAACAAAAAATAACTAAAGAAAAAACGGAAACAAAAAAGCAAAAAACAAAGAAATATAGATTATGTGTAGGCTTTTATATTAGAACCTAACCAACGGTAAATTGTCTATAGTAGGCCCAAAAAAATTTATTAGTGATCTTATAGCGACAAGTAATTCTTGTAGTTCCTTGAAAATAGAAATGTTAGTTTTATAAAAACCATAAATCAAAATATGTTAGCAAGATTTGTTCTTTATGATTAATAAAATAAGCGTTGACTTGATTAAATAAAAAAAACGCTTACTTGATTTAAAATTCAAGATCTAAGAAAATAAACCTATCAAGAGTAATACCAACAAGACCTTAATAAATAGTCGACAATTTTTATTGGATCTAAATTTTGAGTATTTTTGATATAATATTAACTTTATTCTTTGAATATTAATAACAAAATTATGTCGAGACAAACTGCAAAATACACGAAAAATTTATTATCAATAGAGATAGGCGCTAATTTGTTGAGGTCGACTTATATTTAATTAGATTATTTCTAGAGCCCTAGATGTAACTTAAATACATAAATACTAATAAACAATAAAATAACTTTTATTTTTATTTCATTTTGAATTATTCACGAGATTATTAGCTTGTACTCCGACAATTAATATTTGACAGTAGCCGTTATTAAATATTACACCTATAATCAAGTAACCGAGTTGCTGTCAACATAGGTGAATATTGGTGATTTGAACATTTGATTTTTACCATCATTCGAATTAATTCGATTATACCACCAATAACATTCGAATCATTTGAAAAAATTGTAATAAACAAACGAAACTGACTTGGTAACTTGCTGCTACGTTTGAAAAGTACCTCCCGGAGCGGAGTAGAGCTAGTAGATTTTGATTGAACAAATCGAGCTTATGTGGAATAAAAAAACGGCTATGGATTTGTTTGTGTTTCCCGTTTCCGGTTTTCATTAAAATAACAAACTTAAACCTTTCTTTTAAATAAAATTTGATCTCTCTTCTCGTGGTTTTTGTTGCAAGTTGCAAAGTAAAGTTAATTTTTAGCTGTGGTATTTTTCGCTTTTTGCTTTGACTAGAAAATAAACCATGTTCTCATTTCTGTCTGACATTTTTTATAAGTATTTTTTCTAATAACCAAACACATGAAAAGAATAAACTGCAACACAAGAGACAACGAACGACGTCTTCACATCTCAGAGAAGTACATCTACTTTTTCACTGCGAAAGCTCTAAAATTTAATTCGTAGTAAATAGATCTTACTCTGCATTAAAAGACCACGGAGCAGCTCCCATCGAGAAGCCATATATGTATTAAAAGCTTCGAGTAAAAAGAGAAAAACGAGGTAGTTTTCAAACGCAGCAGTTGAAAATATGGAGTAGAGTAGGCCGCCAAAATTACTGATTTCTCTTAAGTAGGATACACATATGTAACGTTTTTGCGTCTTCGCTTTTAGCGGACCACATTCTGATTGTAGATCTCGGTCAAGTCGGGGAAACACCCAGTAGTTATTTAAGGTTGGCGATAAAAGTTTGTATGGACTACGTCAGCAAAGCGTCTTTATCGAACTCGTATGTTACTCGCCTCGCTCGCTTCTCTCGCTCGGCTCAAAATCTCAAACTAGTTCCATAAAGAATTACTTTGCTGACTTGGTACATAAATAATTATTATCTGTATGAATCAAATACACAAACACAATTAACACGTTTATCAATAATGTTCAAATGAAACTTGAATTTTAGTTTAACATAATTGGGTATGATTCGATACGTTGAGATCAAAACCAAGAAAATTGAAATATTTGAAATAAAAAGAAAAATAGAACTATTGATAATGAAGTTATCAAGATGTAATGCAACAGGTCTTCAACTTCTACAATTTAAACTTTTTAGGTATTTTCTTCAGTAAATGTAAGATCGGAAACCTTCGTGATGGTGACATTGATCAAAGAAAACCAGGTGTTTACTTCAGATTAGAACGAGATCTTCGAGTAAGACAAGACAGAATGGGAGTAGAATTACGGGAAAGATTAAAGTGGGATATAAGAGAAGGAGTAATTGGTTCCCATACATTTGATCCCAAACATGCAATTTTTATAACCTGGAAGAACATTTCGTTCAACGGAGGATACGCCAACGCTGTATATCAAGTAAGAAATATTCCAACTGTTTTTTTATACAATAAATATTGTACCTAACCCAACTCCTAGTTTGTAAAAAATATTTATTAACACTGGACTTTTCTACTTTTTCGATACTGAATGTAATTTCATGCATTTAATCTTTTCTATTCGTAGACCAACACCTTTCAAATGGTCCTTGCCACCGATGAAGTCTTCACTTATGCCATTTTTAACTATCTCAACTTAGATTGGACTAGTCACACTGAAGCTGGAGGTGATACAAGAAAAGGAGAAGGTGGTGTACCAGCTTACGTTGGTTTTAATGCTGGCAATGGAACACGCAGTTTTGAATATTTACCATACAGTCAAGCATCTGTTATTAGAGATTTAACAGCTACTGGTTGGGGAAACAACTTCCAGGGAAGACATATTTTCCGTATAGATGAGAATATCTTACTAGGTTCTTGTAATAAAGATATTGGTAAGTTGCGAAGAAGTTTACGTAATACAGTTACTTGATATATAATCATTATTTAATAGACGGTGCAAATCTACCTCTACAGTTCGCACCTGAGAGCGGTAACATGCTGGGAGGAACCGTTGTGAATATAACAGGTCCCTGTTTCAATCTTAACGACAGAATTAGATGTAAATTTGATGTTTCCGACGAAGTTGTTGGACATGTCGTTGACAGAAATAGAGCTATTTGTGTGCAGCCTCTATTATACTCTGAAGGATGGGTTAATCTACAAATTGCTGTTAACTCAGAAGCTTTCAAGTGGAAAGGAAAATATTATGTTGGTAAGTAAAGTTCCACTTCGTTTGATAAAAATAGAATCACTTTGCCTAAGATCAAATAAAATTGCTTCCTGTTTTTCTACATTTTTGCTCGACCTTTTGATCGGAAACACCTGTTCTCACGATTGAAGAGATGTCTATTATATCCGTTTTAGTAAACAAAATTGAATATGGTTAAAACTATAATGTTTTATAAATAAGTTGTCGAAGTTTACATCCATAAGTTGAACAGTATTAAAACTTTGAGTTTTTAAAGATAGTGTGTGTGAACGTGTTTCACATCGTTCATCACGACTTGCTTTTGAAAAATAAATTCCGACTCACTGCTGCTCGGTTGACGTAAAAAGAAATCTACCGTAGTTTTGAAGACAATTCATCAAACTTTTTTTTGATTCGGCTTCTAGATACTATGGAGAAAACTAAAGAGCAATCTAAAGAATTCTACACGACCAAAAAAAATTCTAAAAAATCGTCTGGCAAGATTTTTGTTAATTTAAAAATAAAATTGAAATAAAAATAAAATAAAAAATTTGAAAATTTAAAAAATTTAATATAAAAAATTTAAAAAATATAAAAAATTTAAAAAATTTAAAAAATTTAAAAAATTTAAAAAATTTAAAAAATTTAAAAAATTTAAAAAATTTAAAAAATTTAAAAAATTTAAAAAATTTAAAAAATTTAAAAAATTTAAAAAATTTAAAAAATTTAAAAAATTTAAAAAATTTAAAAAATTTAAAAAATTTAAAAAATTTAAAAAATTTAAAAAATTTAAAAAATTTAAAAAATTTAAAAAATTTAAAAAATTTAAAAAATTTAAAAAATTTAAAAAATTTAAAAAATTTAAAAAATTTAAAAAATTTAAAAAATTTAAAAAATTTAAAAAATTTAAAAAATTTAAAAAATTTAAAAAATTTAAAAAATTTAAAAAATTTAAAAAATTTAAAAAATTTCAAAAATTTCAAAAATTTCAAAAATTTCAAAAATTTCAAAAATTTCAAAAATTTCAAAAATTTCAAAAATTTCAAAAATTTCAAAAATTTCAAAAATTTCAAAAATTTAAAAAATTTAAAAAATTTAAAAAAATTAAAAAATTTAAAAAATTTAAAAAATTTAAAAAATTTAGAAAATTTAAAAAATTTAAAAAATTTAAAAAATTTAAAAAATTTAAAAAATTTAAAAAATTTAAAAAATTTAAAAAATTTAAAAAATTTAAAAAATTTAAAAAATTTAAAAAATTTAAAAAATTTAAAAAATTTAAAAAATTTAAAAAATTTAAAAAATTTAAAAAATTTAAAAAATTTAAAAAATTTAAAAAATTTAAAAAATTTAAAAAATTTAAAAAATTTAAAAAATTTAAAAAATTTAAAAAATTTAAAAAATTTAAAAAATTTAAAAAATTTAAAAAATTTAAAAAATTTAAAAAATTTAAAAAATTTAAAAAATTTAAAAAATTTAAAAAATTTAAAAAATTTAAAAAATTTAAAAAATTTAAAAAATTTAAAAAATTTAAAAAATTTAAAAAATTTAAAAAATTTAAAAAATTTAAAAAATTTAAAAAATTTAAAAAATTTTAAAAATTTTAAAAATTTAAAAAATTTAAAAAATTTAAAAAATTTAAAAAATTTAAAAAATTTAAAAAATTTAAAAAATTTAAAAAATTTAAAAAATTTAAAAAAATTTAAAAAATTTAAAAAATTTAAAAAATTTAAAAAATTTAAAAAATTTCATAAATTTCTGATTTAAAAAATTTAAAAAATTTAAAAAATTTAAAAAATTTAAAAAATTTAAAAAATTTAAAAAATTTAAAAAATTTAAAAAATTTAAAAAATTTAAAAAATTTAAAAAATTTAAAAAATTTAAAAAATTTAAAAAATTTAAAAAATTTAAAAAATTTTAAAAATTTTAAAAATTTAAAAAATTTTAAAAATTTTAAAAAATTTTAAAAATTTAAAAAATTTAAAAAATTTAAAAAATTTTAAAAATTTTAAAAATTTTAAAAATTAAAGAAAATTTAAAAATAAAAATTTTAAAATAATTTATTTGTCTTCATCTTGGAGATAAAAAAAGGAAAAGTCAGAAGCAATTTACTTTTTCCTGGAGTACAAAATTACTGTGGTTGACAATATATTATTTTATTTTTAGAATCACCATCTAGTGCAACTCAAAAAATTTTCTTCAAAGACATGAAATACCATGAAAAATCTCCGAGCGAAATTAGAATCACTTGGGAAAGACAAAATTTGACTAGTAACGATAATGCAAATATTCGGATTTCTTTATGGGGTTACAGAGAAACTACAATGAGACCGACGTTTGTTTACATCGGAGAAATCGCTGAAAATATTCAAAACACTGGAGAATACACAATAGTTCCTTCTCAGTACAGAACAAGGGCTAATCAATTTTTGACTGATATTAAGTTTGGTTTTCTACAAATTAATTTGACTGAATCCATAAAGGTAAGTGAATGAATAAAATGAGAATAAAAAGAAATACTCAAAAGAACAGAGTGATTTATTGGGAAATAATGGAGACCACAAGTAATTATGAATAAAGTGGTCACGTTTTGTGTCGGCACGATAAGTCAAAAACGAAGAATGATATGAACTTAAAATGTTCAGGAAAACTTAATCTCTATAAGGGTACGAAGACTATTGATTTTGAAAAAATTTGATAAAAAATTGTGGGGTTAAGGGGGGATTGAAAACATCCTAAAATAAAAACCAAAAACAATATCAACTTGAAATTTTCAGGAAAATGAAGCTCTACAATGGAACGAAGCCTACTATTTTTTAAAAAAAATCTTATTTAAAATGGGGGGTCAAGAGGGGTCCTAATTAAAAAAAAAAAAACGTAAATTAAAACGAAAAACGATATCAAATTGAAATTTTTAGGAAAATCAAGCTCAGCAATGGGACGATGCCTATTGATTTAAAAAAAATCTGATTAAAAATGGGAATTAAGGGGGGTTACAATTTAAAAAAAGATCATAACTTAAAAACAGAACTTGAAATTTTTAGAAAAAACTCAGGCTCTGCAATGGGGCGAAGCTTATTAATTTTTAAAAAAATCTGATCAAAAATAGTGTGGTTAAAGGGGGTTGATATTAAAAAAAAAATCATAAAACAAAAACGAAAAACAATATCAACTTGTAATTTTCAGGAAAAATCAAGCGCTACAATGAATCCTATTGATTTTTAAAAGCATCTGATTAAAAAAGGGGGTTTAAGGGGAGTTAAAATTTTAAAAAATATCATAAATTAAAAACGTAAAACTTTAAATTTTTAGGAAAATCAAGTCATATAAGGGGACGAATCCTATTGATTAAAATATTAAAATAAAATCCTAACTCGGAAACAAAAAACGATATCAACTTGAATTCTTTCGGAAAATTAGAGATTTTATAGGGGGATGAAGCCTATTGATTCTGAAAAAAATCTGATTAATAATAGGGGGTTAAAAGGGGGTTTGTTTAACTGTGAATATAGAATGCCAAGCATTATATATCTTTATTCTAGTTCATAACCCCGTAGATTTTTTATTGTTTGAAACGCTTATCCATACCTTACAGAATATAACGGTGTATAAAAAGTAGGAAATCCAAGTCAGACTTGGCTAACAATTCACAAATTCTTCCACCCTCAAAACAACACTCCATAAATCTGATTTTTTATAATTTTGATATTTGATATTTGAAAATAACGCAAAAAACTGATTTCAACGATATTTACGCATCATTTATTCTACCGGTAGTGTAGAAAAGGGTACATTTTCCGCCTAGATGGTAGTATCTTAATTTCATATTCCCTTTATCTATGAATCTACCAAGTAAAAAAAAATAAATAATCATTCTACAGGACGTTCCAATTTGATATAGGATATTCGAAAATGATTGATATTTGGTCCTTTACCCCTTAAGTCTGCCCATGAAAAAAATATTTGGTCCCTCTACTACTTAGGCTTGCCCATGTAAGAGTATGGTCCCTTATCACTTAAGCCTGCCCACATAAAAAATGTTCGGGCCCTTTGTCTTTTAAGCCTGTTCATGTAAAAATATGTGACTCTTTTATCCCTTAAGCCAGCCCATATCAAAATATTTGGTCCTCTTATCCCGTACATCTGTCTGTTATTGAAAATATTCTTTCTTATCTTATTTTTTAGGTCAATACATACACAACTTCCAACCAAAATATAGATATCACTCCAGTGGTTTGGAGTCGACCAATTCCCTTGGGTTGGTACTTCGGATTTCAATGGGAAAATTTGTATGGTAGAAATTGGCCCAAATATCTCTGCGACGAATGGTTAAGAACAGACAGGTACCTTAAAAATTTCGCTCATGAACTTCCTCAGTGTCCTTGTACAGTACAACAGGCTTTAGCAGATAAAGGAAGATATATGCCAGATTTCGATTGCGATAAGGATTCAAATCCCATATGTTATTACAATAATCAAGCTCTACATTGTGTCAAAACTGGATCTCCAACGTAAGTAATTTTTTTAATTCTAGAAATGGATTTTAATCTTAAAATAATTTTTAAAATATTAGATTGGAAGGCTCAGAACAACAATGTTGCTACGACAAAAACGGATACCTTATGTTATCTTACGACCAACAGTGGGGATCCAGTCCTCGCCGTTGTCATAATCTTGGTAAAATGCCTTATAACGAAGCTACGAAAGTCCCAACTCTATCCCAATGGTTTAACGACGTAGTTCCCAAATATCTTTGCTGTTTATGGCAAGAAGAACAAGCAGTAGGTTGCGAAACTTTAAGATTTGAAAGAAGACCAACGCAAGATTGTGTGGCCTATCAAGCACCGGGCATAGCTGGAGTTTATGGTGACCCACATGTCGTTACTTTCGATGACGTAGAGTATACTTTTAATGGCAAAGGAGAATTTTCTTTGGTAAAATCAGTTACTAAATTAGATAATTTAGAAGTACAAGGTAGATTTGAACAAATGGACCCTAATGCTTACGGTGAAGTCAGAGCTACACAGTTGACATCAATTGTTGCTAAAGGAAACAACACTATCTCTGTGGAGATTAGAAGAAGGCCTTTGGATTCTAGGTGGAGATACCGATTGGATGTAATAGCTGATAATAGAAGGTTATATTTTGACAGGCCTTCCTTGAAGTTCCAACATTTTCAAGGTAAAATTAATTTTTTAAATGAAAAAACTTTTTTAATTAGGTTTTAATATTTTTAGGTGTAACTATTTATACCCCAACTTATATACTGAATCAGTCTGAAGTGTTGATTATGTTTGATAACGGAGCCGGTGTTGAAGTATTAGATAATCAAGGTTACATGAGTGCAAGAGTCTTTTTACCATGGTCATTTATAGTAAGTATACCAGATCTACCAAAATAATTATTAATGCGTAATTTGGTTATTATTGTTTAGAACAAAACAGTTGGTTTATTTGGAAACTGGAGTTTCAACAAAGAAGATGACTTTGCTTTACCAGACGGCACTAAGGCTGCTGTAGTAAGTAATATTAACGATATGGAAAGAGTGTACAATGACTTCGGTTCAAAATGGATGTTGGATGACGTATTAGATCCACAAAAAGGACGCGCATTGTTCTATAGAGAGTTCGGACGAAGTTCTTCTACATATAATAATAAAACTTTCAAACCACAGTTTTTAATGATGCCGGAAGACATTATACCTGCAAATAGATCAGTTCAGATTGATAGAACATACCAAATATGTTCAACAAGGATGTACGAATGTTACTATGATTATGCTATGACGTTAAATAGAGATGTAGCGCACTTTACGCAAAATTATAAATCAACAATTTATCAACTAAAGGATATTGCCCGTACTAAAGTGCCATCTTGCGGAGTTTTGGAAACACCAAGATTTGGCCGGAAGAGTACCTTCTTGTTTGTGCCTGGTACCAAAGTAACATATGAATGTATTCAAGATTTTGTATTGGTAGGAGATCAGAGAAGAGAATGTACTGCTGAGGGTACTTGGAATACACCGGATTATGGATATACATACTGTTTACGTAAGTATTAATTTTATTTGTTTCTTAAACTTACCATGTTCCATAATCATCTATATCTACTGTTTTTAGTGGTTTAATGTTTTAAAGTATAAATTTTGTTCCTACATTTTATCTAACACATTTTATTATTTTTACGTAGGTCAACAAGAATATTCTTCCCGCCAAGCCGCTATTACTTCTGGTATCGTTCTCGCAGTTCTCATACCACTTATACTTTTAATCGCTTATCTAGGGTACAAAGTCTATAAAAAAGTATTCAATAAAGACTCAAGTTCTTGGCAATACCAAAAACCCCCTCAAAACTCTCAAACTTTCCGTAGATCTCTAGTTCCTTACAGAGACGAAGAATATGAAGAAAAAAGTCCTATACCAAGTCCTAGTGAGAGCGATACTATTCCCAAAAAGAGAAGAAGCTACGAAAAGTCTTATCGTACTCATGAACCTTTAACTGACAGACCTTATATAGGTTTTGAAGACAAGCCCTTAGACCCGAATGATCCTACCTATGATGATATCGATAGGGCTTCTAGAACACCTTCTAGTCCCACAAGTCCTACTTCTAGCATTCAATATACAACTCCTTATAATCCAAGGCCGGATATTATTCAGGGCAATAGCACCAAAAATTTGAATTATACTGAAAATGATTATTCACTGCCTATTAAAAAACCTAAAAACAGGTTTAGTCAGAGTCAAAGTAGCATTGTTACAGATGTCTAGGGCACTTTTAATTTAATGGGGTTTGAAGTACTAAATATTAAAAGTAATTGAATGATTTTTGGGTATTTAATTTAGCCCTTATTCTTAAAAATATTTATTATATTCGCAGTAAAAAGACTTTTTAACCATTACCTACTATTTGGTTTAAAAATTATTTTAGTCTACTTTTGCATTTTTATAATTATTATGATTTAATATATTAAGTTAAAAAATGAGCACCAAAAAAGTTTGCATTTTATATACATAGTAAGTGCGGAAAATGATTTGATGTCCTATATGTAACTTTCAATCTATGAAGTAAAAAAGAAAGAAAAATAATACCTACGATACATTACGTTTTCAAATAATCAATATATGTAAATGCGAGGTGTAAACGAACAATCTTGACAAACTAAGCTTCACAATAATTATGAATTGAATCGCTTACTATGGTGACTACATAACATAGAGATTTGAAAAACATGCAAATATGAAGACAAGACAGACCTAAATATTTTCTTGTGATCGTAGATAGATACCTCGAACGACTTCTGCAAATTCGCGGCCATGTTTGTCTCGTGTGTAATAAGTGTGGGTTCGGCAAAGGTACATTTCAAGTAGCAGTTTAGCTCCACACCCTACACAATTTAAGTTTTTAAGAGAGAAGAACAAGTCATATTCAATTTAAGCAGCCCGAAGACCCTGAAGGTTGTCCCATTACAATTTTTAAAAAACATCTTGATATTGGTTAGTTGGAGTACCATCGTTTAAGTCACTCTGCTCTTTTCCCCCAATTTCCTGCAAACCACAAGGTGAATAGAATAACACAATGTTCTTCATTGGAACAGAAATATTCTATGAATAAATAGGTTGTGTTATTTTCTATTCGAAAAAGTTGTCAACTGGTTCTTATTCCTTCATTATATTTGAACGGTAAAATTGACTTGTTTTCAGTATCTAACCATTGTTTTGTCCAGTACTTTGTTTTCTTTTGATTAAAGTTATACTTACCTATTCTTTAGTGTCTTGATTGAGCCATAATATCTCTAGAAAGCAATAAAACTAACTGATAAATTGGAATGTGGTGTAATCTGCCGATGGTTCCCTGCAGATTATACCCTGCGAATTTTTGTGTATGACGATTTAGCCAAAGTGGCGTAGCGTATAGGGAGCCAGGATGGGCGACGGCCCCACCCGCGTTTTGCATTTAGAGCACCTTTGGCGCCCCCCAGAGGTTTGGACGCCCCAAAAAAGTTTGGCTCCCTCCGCCCTTTGGCCCACGCTACGCCACTGTTTAGCCATTACTTACATCATTCGCCTCGTACTGTATGCTTTAACATGTAGGCTCTATAGATATCCAAAAATCAGTTCAATTACAATGATGACATCTTATTTTTGCCGGAATAAACCGAAATTGTTATTTTTATAACAACTTGAGCAAGACAGAATGAACAATACCAAATTTTTATATGAGTTTTGATAAAAAGAGTGATCATAGTCAGCCAAGATCGTCGATAATTTGGAATACCTACCTAAGTTGAACAATTTCTTTTAAGATCAACAAAATACATTATACTCTAAAATCTATTGTAAGCAAGAATAATAATTATCGACGACCCTGTCTCTAGCATGTGGACTGATGAGCCAAATATTTTTTTGTAATTTATTTGTATACTTATTGATCAAACGTTTAGATTTTACAGTATTAATTTGAAATAAATTAGATTAATTATTATACAGTATTAATTTTAAATTGTTACAGAGTTAAATAAAGTTTAGTAACTCAAAAAGAAATGGAGCATTTCACATGCTAGGGACGCTTAGTAAAAATAAACGGTTTTTAAGTTTTGGTATGAGAACTGCGAAATGGTATCCCTAGCAGGTGGAATGGTTTCATATTATTTATTTCTCCCTTTTCCATAAAACAACGTTATAATACGAGATCCAACCGTGTGTTACTGCAATCATCTGTATTTTTTAATTAAAATACAATTTTATAGATAACTATCGATAGAGAAATACAGTTTTAATTAATTAAAACGTAATACATTTTTTCGAAAATTTTGTTTACTTGTTTTGAGGATATTTTAATTAATATCAAAGAGAGGTATGTAAGAAACTTAAAAAGGAAAAAATTATAAAGAATTACAAATAAGTCTTGTTGAAAGAATGTTCTTCTATAATCGTAAATAAGAAATCTAAAACAATCGATTCATTGAAAATATTCGATTACGTATTTGAAAATAGTCGATTTATCGAAAATAAACGAAAGTAATCCAAAATAATTATTGAAAATAGCCGAAAATAATCGATTAATCGAAAATAATCGAATATTTTAGATTATTAGAAAATAATGGATTAATCGAAAATAATCGATTAATCAAAAATAATCGACTAATAAATAATTAATCGATTATTTTGCCCACCTCTAGATAATAAATAATACAAACCCAAATTAAAAAACAGATTTAAGAAGGTTATCAAAATATATTGTTTTAAATACACTATGATTATTTTATTTTAAAAGCAGGCTAGTGTGATTGGTGTTTCTTTTATACAATTGCTCCTCGAAAAAAAAAATAAAAAAAAACTTAAAATTAAACACAATTTTCAAAGAAAGTTGTTGCCCACGACACATATCCTTTAAAGTCGATTATTCGAAAAGAAGATCATTAGATTATTTTAAATAATCAATTAATCAAAATCGAATATAATAGTTATCATGAAATGTCAAAAATAATCGATTAATTAAAAATAATTGATTTGAAAATAATCGATTAATCGAAAAATTTATTATTCGAAAATAATCAATTAATTGAAAATAATCGATTAATCTAAAATAATCGATTAATCGACAATAATCTATAAATTAAAACAATCGATTTTTTTTAAAAATCGATTAATTTATTATTTTGCCCAGCTCTAATTATAACCACAAACAATCCTTGTACATAGACTCTCCCGAAATAATGTAGCAACAACTATGTTGAGTAACAACCAGAATGCTTGCTTACACTGGTCTATAGTCTGAATAAAAGAGGAGTGCGGTAAAAGTGGGGATATACCGTCACATTCCATAGGCATACTTTGCAAAATAAGTTTTTATAATATAAATTAGGTCACGGCATATACGCACTTCGTAGATTAAATTTTGAATGAAAAAAGTTATATTATTTACAAAAAATAAAAATTTCAATTCCCTTTTCACGGGATATCTCGACTATAATATATTTGTTTTTATGTAGCCTTGCTATTACGAGTAATTCTGCCTTCAAGGATTTAGGAAGACTGATATTTTTAGAATGAAGCCATTTTGAAATATCCTCGGTGTAGGTCTCACATTTAGTGGCTATTTCATCCAGAAAAAGTGAAACAAAGTCTTTTCGAAGAATATTAATTACATTAAGTACGATATTTTTTTCTTCTAAAGATAATGCTTTGTATCCACTACGTCGTTTATACGTACTTATGCTTGCAATATTTTCTAATGCACTAGCCATTCTTATATAACTAAAATTATAATATATATTAATATAAAATTCCTAATCAATTAAAATACATACGATACGGCTATGAATAATTAAAGCCTGACTTATCTATCAAAAGAAAAGGTTTATTACAGTAGAAACCATGGAAACATCTAAACGAAAACTTTTATTAGGCCTATCAGATGTATTAAAATTTTCATTTTAACCACAAATAAGCATTGAAGGATGAGGTATAAATAAATAGTCTACCTCTTGAACCTGTATTACGTTCTGCAAATTAAATTACTGCAATCCTTTCTTCTCTAGACTATAGTAGTTGTTCGCCTACTTTGTAAAAAAATTGTGTAATCAAGTTTTTTCTGGATACAAATTTAATAATAATTATTTCAGCAATCATTTATTTTTTAAATATTAAACAGGTCAGCAGGAATATTCGCAAAGGCAGGCAGGAATTACATCAGGAATAATAATGATAGTCCTTATACCTTTAATCCTGCTTTTCGTCTACTTGGCGTATAGGTTTTTAAAGAAAAAACAGAAGGAAAAAGAAGAAACTCAGCATCAAGCGTTAATGTACCAAGAACAAAAAAGGTGATTATTTTTAGATACTTTACTTTAATTAAATTTGTTTTCTTACGAAATAAATATTATAAAATGACTAAAAAGAGAAAAGTTCCACCGAATTTTTCAAAACAAACAATTTGCTCTAAAACCAAGAAGAGACCTTTCATACTTCTCTGAAACTCTACTTTCTGTATACCGAATGTACATTTCTGGTAAAATTTAAGTTGGAATTTTGATTTTTTGGGGTATGAGTCAGTGGACAGGGATACGTAATTTCACAAACTTTTCAAACCAGGATGTCACATTGAAAAGGAATTTTTTTCGGGTAGAAAAAAATGATTTTTGGAAAATCGCTAAGACTTAAAAGTTTGGTCTCCAGGGGGACATCTTTTGATATAAAAACCATCATTTCACCACTTCGCACAGCAACACTAACCCTTGAAATTTGAATATAGAAGATGGGTTGAATTTAACAAAAAAATATTAATTAAATCTGTCTATGCGTTTTCAAAATATGAAACATTAAAAATAAAATACCTCTTTATCTGAAACATAAAATACCTATTTTTGAATAAGATAAAATGAAAAAATAGAAAAAGGGGAAAACTGCACTCTGTATACTTTAACAAATCATCGTCAATCTCACAAACTGACGTATTTAAAAAAAAATGCAGTTTTTAAGATACGACTGTAGAAACACTTTATTTTTATAGATCTTCCTTCTCACAAAGGGTAAGTTCGGTTTGGAATTCGACGGATCGGACAGAGGGCGCGACGTCATAGACAGAGTTCGCTCTTTTTACAATCTCAAGACGAACACAAGGGGAATGAAAAATTACACTAGTGATAGTTTGCACTTGAATACACTTTTGTATGTGTGTGTATATGGACTGTAAAAAAATAATATTAGTCAAATAGGAAATAGTGACAAAAACAAACAAGAAATAATACGTATAAAACTGATTAATCATAGATCAGAATATTGAAGTTTGACATTTTTGACACATTCCTACAGATACCCGTTGATCTCCACCGGTCAACTCGGGGAAGAGTGCGCGCGCTCTGAGTACGTGATCTGTGGCAAGCCGAACACAAAAGAGAACGCTCTGAGTGCCAAAATGACCACAATTGAGGCATACCGAGTGCATTCTGAGTACAGCGAACGCCAAACCGAACTCAGCCAAAGTGGCGTAACGCAAGCTGTAGCCGTTACGTTCTAACAGAAACTTTCGTGAGGGATATATCTCCTTACTCAATCGTAGCACAAAAATTGCTCTCCTGTAAAATTAGGGAAAATGAGAGAGGTCACTTTGTGAGATTTCACTTTGTGAGATTGACGTCGAAATGTTCAAATTGAGTCCCACCAACTTCCTACAATGGTATAAAATCGCGTCACATTCTCGAGCCAAAGAGGCGCATTCTGTAGTATAAACTTAAATGGCCCCACAAAAAAGTCCAAGGATTAATATCTGGATATCTAACTGGCCATTTTATAGTACCTCATAGACTAATCCATTGTATGGGAAAATGTCTATCTAAAAATATGTGGTACATATCCGGAGCAACGTCATTAATGCAAAAAGTTACTTTTTATTCCCTAAACTATGTGCAATGTTGTAAATATAAGATATACAGGGTGTTTCTAAATTCATGCGACAAAATTCAGGAGGTGATTGCCCGTATGAAATTAAGATGAGTCATTAATATAACAAAATTCCCTCAGCCCACCCCTTTCCGAGATATCACCCTTAAAAAGTGGTGACTAAAATTGATTTATTTTTTTTTTTTCTAAAATTTCAGTAAATCTGGAAACTTGAAATTCTGTAATTTTCGTGCACTCGCAAAGGACTAACCACGGGTATTTTTTCAATATTCCTGTTACATTATAGGGGGGTGAAATTAGCAACCCTTACTTTATTTCATATCAAAACTTTTTTCGAGATTAAGTTTTATGAAATAAAATTGAAATCCTTGTTTTATTTAAAAAAAAAAAATATTCTTAAATTTTTTTCCCAAAACCAATAGCTATAGAGAACAAAAATAAACACCATAATTTATAATGTTTTTAATAAAGTGAGTGAAAAATAGTAAAGATGTAAAATGTAATACTAATAAATGCTGGAAATGACCACCTCTGCCTTGTTTTTAATTACGAAGTTTTAAAATAGTAGGCTGCTGTCACTTCGACAATTCATTTACCATGTTTAGTTGTTTATTCAAATTGTAGTAGGCTGATGTCAAACACTGTTGTTGATAGTTACCAATCGAAGTTTACTTGTAAGTTTGTAGGTTGTTATTTTTGCGTTATATGTCTATTGTTTATTTTATAACATGTATACAAATGCTGAAATGGCCGAAATGCATTTTGTGTATGGTATGGCAAATGGTAATTCTCGACAAGCTAGACGTCTTTATGCTGAAAAATATCCGCACGAATAACGCCTCATCATTCCGTATTTGCACGTATTCACAACCGCTTATTCGAAACTGGAATGTTAAAAAGAAATTCAAACAACACTTGTCGTTTCTGTACAGTTAGAAATGTAGTGGTAGAACAAGCAATTTTAGATAAAATTGATGTACACCCGAAAACAAGCACTAGAAAAATTGCCAACATCCTAAATATCAGCCGTTCATCTGTGTGGCGAGTTTTAAAAGAGCAGCAGTTATATCCTTACCACATCCAACGGGTTTAAGCTCTTTTACCTAGAGATTTTCCTTAACGAGTTAGAT